CTTTGTGTGCAGCCCCTGAGATATTGGAATACTGCTATCATGTCCCCTCGCCCTTCTCTTCATTAAATTAGACATACCCAATTCAGCAGCCTTTCCTATATGCTTTAGCCTCCAGTCTCCTAATCATCTTTGTTTGCTCTTCTCTGTACTCTTTCTAGAGTCTCAAAATCTTTTTTACATCGTGGTGACCAAACTAGCATGGCAGTGTTCAAGTATGGACTTACCAAGGCATTGTAAAGTGGTATTAAAACTTCATGTGATCTTGATTCTATCCCTCTGTTAATGCGTCCAGCACTGTGTTGGCCTTTTTGGCAGCTGCAGTACACTACTGGCTCATATTTAAGTGATTGTCCACTAGGACTCTGAGGTCCCTCTCACATTAATACTATTGAGCAAGGTACCCCCTATACTATATGTTTTCTTTGAAACCTCCTTGCCTACAGCCTCGGGATTTCCACATTTAAATCTACTATTTGTTTTCTAGGATCAGCCACCTAAAAGAATAGATGTTGCCACCTATTACTATTGACACCAGTCTGAATTATGGACCAATGTATATATGTATGTTAAAGTGCAGCTTCATTCTTTTTGACTAATAATTTATTAGCTGACTTTAAAGCACTTGAAATTAAGCTATGGAATAAAAAAAGGAAGGAATAATTAATCTTGAGCTCAAGTAAGGACATTTTGGGAGGGGGTGCTTCACTTAGGTGGTTGGTGTAACAATTATAGCCATACCTGTTTGCAGGATTACTTTGGTATCCATAATTCAGGGGTCTTCAAACTTGGCCTTTTATGACTTGTGGACTTCCTGTGCTGGCTCTAGGAATTCTGGGAGTTGAAGTCCACAAGGCAAAAGGGCCAGGTTTGAAGCCCCCTGCCATAATTCATGCCTTTATCATCACTTGCTGGACTACTGCAATACAATCTATGTGGGATCCCTTTGTAGATAACCCAGAACTATAGCTGGGGCAAAGCACAGTAACCAGAATCCTGGTAGACAATCTCACCAGTGCAGAATAACATCTATTTTAATTCATAACACTGGTTAGCAGTAGACTTTGAACCCAGTTTGAAGTTCTAGACCAGGGGTCTTCAAACTTGGCCCTTTTATGACTTGTGGACTTCAACTCCCAGAATTCCTCAGCAAGGCACACTGGCTGAGGAATTCTGGGAGTTGAAGTCCACAAGTCATAAAAGGGCCAAGTTTGAAGACCCCTGGTCTAGACATTATCTTTAAAGCCTTACATAGCAGAGCACGAAGATATAGCAAGCAGCACCTTGCCAGAATAGAGTCTATAGGCTCAGTTTAGTCATCACAAGAGAGTCTGTTGAAAGTCTGCTCCAGGTTATATGGGGGTAACCGAATGGCAGATCTTGTCATAGTAGCCCGCACATTTTCATAAGCAGGCTAAAACTTATTTAATTGTGCTGGAAGTCCAATTGATTGGGGCACTACAATGATTTTTAATAGGAATGAGAAGTCTATGGGATTAGGTGATATCTGTTAAAAAATTGTTCTTTTTTATTCTATTGTTTTCTGCCCAGAAGCCTTTGGGCTTAGAAATATGAAATAAAATTAGTACATGAATAAAATAAAAGGTTATTGAAATTGCACTGAGGCTCCAGGTATAGTTTAAACTATTGTCACTTGTGTAAGCAGTTGACAGATATAAATTATGAGGAATTCTTTCCTTCTGCTTGCCTGAACAGTAAACATTGTCCTTCTCCAAGACAAACAGAGCTTTGTTCCTGTGCTGGCTGTGAAGCTATTTCCCATGGTTAAAGCATGTTAGCAGGCCCCTGACATGAAATGATGTCAATCTATCTACAAAGGTCAGTCTTAGGCTGCTGTTGTGACAGGAAAAGATTATTGGCCAGAGGCCACAAAGGGCCACAAAGGGCTTTTTACATTATATCCTAATGGCAGAACCAATTGGAAGTAAAAAAAAAGTAGTTGAAAAGTTCATTTTTCTTCTCCATTAGCAATTTTCAATTTTATGGGGCCCTAGTGAGATGCTCTCAGGCTTCTCCACATGTTTTTTTCTTTCTTTTCCTCTTCATTTCTACCCACTTATTTACCCTCTCCTTTCAGCCTTAATTTAAAACAATATTTCTCCACCCCAGCAACTTTAAAATCTGTAGACTTCAACTCCCAGAAATCCCCAGCCAGCATCAATGGCTAGGGAATTCTGGGAGTTGAAGTCTACACATCTTAAAGTTATTGAGGCTGAATAACACTGGTCTAAAATAATTGCTCAGAAACAGTACAAGACCACTGGAGGACTCTGCTTGACTCTGCTTGCATAAAGAGTAAAAATGAGAACCAGCAGCCAGACTAGGAGACCAAAAGTTAGCAGGGGAGACTTTGGCAGGTGTCTGACAAGTTAATTCATGGTTTCAATCCAGTCAACTTTGGCTATACCAAAGGGTACTTAAACAAATTATGGTATCTTCAGGGGTGTCTTCAAAGTGTGATGAATAAGTTAAGATGGTGGTTTGGCTTCAGTGATACAATTGAAGTCTACTTGGTTTTCATCTGGGTTAGCTTCCATGAAGTGTTCGTGGTTTGTTGTATTGTCTATTTTAGCAGAGGCTACTGGACAGTCACCTCCTGCATCAGATCCTACCTATGTAATACTGCAAATACTGATCCTATCTCTGTACCTGGACACAGGGGTAGGTAAAAATGCCTGCATGTTCCATAGGTATATGCAGGATGAGAGGATATCCATCCTCTTTGTAGTCACATATCTCTGCCTAGTTACCTCAGAAATGGGGTTGCTGCCATATAGCCAGATCCTATGTGAAAAATAGGATGGGTGGCAAGAGTGTGGAAAGGAGATATTGATATTTAAATGGGAGATAAAATTACATCCTTTTCACTCTCTTCACTTATGTTTTGTGGTATAGCTCAATTCAAACATACAAACAAAAATACACTTTACAAAAGCTCAGTGTAGAGGCATTGAGAAAAAATAAAATATGGATTACAATATGTGGTATAGAATCCTTTAGCTACAATTCTACCTGGTATAGTCATAAGAATTATACAGTGTACCAAAAGTCTTAGTGCAGATTTTAAAGCTTAAAACTGCACTGTCTTTTGGGACCCCTTGTACTGTATTGTTATCCATAACACATTATAAAAGCTAATGTGTTGCTACCCTATGAACTGAATATCCCTACTTCAGCTTTGCACATATTGGACCTGTTTCTAATACGTCATGAATATGTAGTTTGTGAAGAAAATGCATTACCAAGTAGCAGAGTAATGATAGGGAGAAATCAGATGCAAACATATCTAATTCCATAATTTCAAAGCAACACACAGCCTGAAATTTAGTTATCATTCAAAATTCTCCAATTACACCATGATAAAAGGGGAAATCAACACAAAACCCCATATATTTGTGAGAATTATGTACAAATTTCTATTAGTGAAGTTATTTGTAAAAGGTAGATTCATTAGGACAATAAGCATATGTCAGTAGTACTGTGCACCCAAAGTAGTTTTTGTATGTGTGTAAATGTCCTTTTGGAAGATGAGAAATTTTTAAATTCAACACATCAGATTTCACACATGGTACATGGAAAAATTAAAAATGGAGAAACTGAAATAGGCAAACACACCTTCCTTGTGGCAGAGGAAGCAATTCATATTCAAAGAAGAAATCTATTCTCATACAACTTCTTTCTGCCTCTTTCTTTTACATCACATTCACACATTCTGCTATCTTTAAAGTCTCCCCCAACAGGTTTCATTTTAGTTGTGTGCCCCTTTCTCCAAGGGCCCTTTCCCATCAGCTAGCCAACTAAGAGATTAATCTGAGGCAGACTAAACCCTGGGATCTATTTAGTGCTCAATGCTCAGAGTTAATACTGGTGAAAAATCTTCCTTTAATTTTGTCCAAAATACCTTCTCTCCATTTATAAACAACACACATCATTGCGTACTTGGAAATAGAAAGAGCCATTTTCTATATTCAGACCATTTTTTTCACTAGTGACTTATAACATTTTCTAGCATCATCCAGCCATCACTGAAGCAATATAAACTCTGTCCTCATTACCATTATATTAGCACAAAGAGAGTTAGGTGATTGTAGAAGCCCTGCTCTTCCCATTTTAGGGATTACAATCTGCCTGGCAACCTCAAGCTATACAAAGATTCTGTAGTGAAGTCCATGATAACATTGCCTAAATGAGGACAAAGGGACATTTAAAAGGAAATGGAAGGCCAGTTAATCCTATCCTATGAGCATAGGATACTGGAAAAATACAGCAATCTCATCCCTGCTTTTTCCCTTCTTCCTCCCCCAGCTGCATTCACCGTCAGTGTAAAACTCACCCCACCAAGCCCCCCAGTATCCTATTGCTTGCTACTGCAGGCATCTTGGTGCAAACACTTGAATGGCAGCCAACAAAGAAGATGGGCAGGCCGGGCAAAATATGTGATACACCAGCTCAGGTGTTTCTTGAATACAAAATCTAGATGCATTCTCAGAACACATACATTAGTTGGCAGGATAGACCGCTAGCATTCCAGCAAAGAGAATCAAAGACTGGGAAGTGAAATCTGTTTACAGATAGGGAGACTGACTCATTAGAGGTAGGAGGAAGAATAAGATGGAGGAAATCAAGGGAGGGGAAATGATGAAAAAGTAAGGAAGCAGCTCTTTGATGAGAATAAAAACTACACATTGCATAAATGCTTAAAATATGGAACAGGGAGGAGAGAGATGGAAAAGAAAGATAGACTAATGGATTGATGAACAAGTCATTTAGCCATGAAGGATTATGATTGTAGTATTGGTGAAGAAATCAAGAGCTGAGAGAAGGAAGACCAGAATTGTTGTTATGTTTCACAGCATGCCTTTAGGCATTGCTGGGCTACAACTCCATCATTGGCTGAGTATGATGGAAGCAGTACTCCAGTAAACATTTATGGACAAGTAAAAAAAGGCACACTAAAACAGGAGGATTGGAATAAAATTGTTTTAGAGAAAAAGTAAGAGAAAGAAAGACAGCTGTAAGAAAGAGGGAAGAGAGATCAATGGATACTTAGGAGAAAGATCACAAGGACCCAGTGCAAAGGCTGAAATGAGGATTTTCATCTCTTGCCAAGGTATTCTACCATACTTGCTCTGTTCATTAGTCGGTGCCCCCATCCCAGGACTGACCTTATGTAGTTTCCACATGGCACCCAATGCCTTCACCTCATGACTGGAATGCTTGCCTTCCTCCAGACACTGGTAACAAACAGGCATCTTGCACTGCACACAGTACATGCTGTGATTCTCTAGCTCATGGTCAGTGCAGGTGGAGATCTTGCGTGGGCTGAGCCTCCGGCTGACCCGGCCCTGAGCTGGAGGGACCAAACGGTGCTTAGCCAGGGGGCCCCGTGGCGGATGGCAGCGCAGCCGGCATGGGTCACAATAGAAGACGTCGCACTGTTCACACATGACCGTGGCCTCCTTGGGTACCTTCTCACACAGTTGACAGCGCAGAGCAGCTGCTTTGCTTTGCTGGTAACGGTCAATGACACCCTCCAAAACACGATTCTTGGGGAAACCACGAAGGCCCCGCTCATCCAGAATCAGGCTGCGATGGCACTGTGGGCAGGTGAGGCAGGAATTGCGTGGCACCGGTGCCAATGAGGCAGTGGCTGAAACCGGTGGGAGATGTGCAGCTGGAGGGACAGTTGGAGGGAAGACACGCACACCATTGGGTGACTTCTGACATGGTGTAGTAGGTGCACTGGCAAAGCCACCATATGAGCCATAGCCGCTGTCCGCCTCACTGTACAGGCTCATCTTGTCCAGGTCCAGGTAGTCATAGTCAGATGAGGAGCCAACTGACCCTGAGGCACGCCGGCTCTGAGGCGACTCCGTCTCTGGCGTCTGCACCAGGATGTTTCGGGCACATGCCTGACACAGATTGTGTGAACAGGGTAGGATTAGAGGTTCTCGGTAGAAGGAGCCGCAAACCGGGCACTTGAGCTCCTCTTCCATCTCTTCCATGGAGGGTCTCTCAACGCCTTCGAGCCGCGGTTCAGCGGCCCTGATAGGACAGGAGTTGAACTGTGAGCGCGCTTTCAGTACCACGGACAGCGAACCAGCCAAGCGAGCCGCGCTCGTCTCCAGCTTGGCTCACAACGAGCCAAGCTAGATAAGCACTGCCAGCTCTAAACTCCTGCAGCCTTCCCACCGCTTTGTGAGCTCCGCCCTCTTGGCTCATCATTGGCCGTTTGCGCCGAGTGCTGAAGCGCCATTGGACCAAGGCAGTCTCCTAGACCCCCGCCTGCCTCGGGATACTTCGTTTCACCGGCCTGTTTTTCAACCCCGCCTGCTCCACTGCATGAATAAGAGGCAGGCGGCGGTACTGCTGTGAAAGGCAGAGAGCGCCTGAGCTTGATAGACATCCTCGGACATGCAAACGGTGATCAAGGGAGGTGTGTGTGTATGTGTGTGTGAGACAGTGTGTGGGATATACAACACACATACACTCCTTGCAAATTCCCCGTTCCATGAAACTAAAGAGTTATTATTAATCTCGTTAATAACCGCTTCCCTTTTTCTCCTGCGAGGGATAGAGGACTTAATGGCAACAGCTGTCCTTTTCTGTTTTCTTCCTTCGCACCAGTTAGCATTCAGAAGTACCCCGCCTCTCAAATAGTTTATCAGAATTCTTGAATTGATAGGATGGGATGGTCAGAAACTTGCAATTCCCAGCCAGAGATTGCTAGCAGTGAATTTTGAGATATTTAATCTAACGTATTGGAAGAGCATCCGGTTGGGGGAGATTATATTTCATTTAGAGTTACATTGGATGCTCATTCTGCTGTCTTTTTCTCTGACACTGTCCAATTTTAAGCACTCAGAATATCCATCACACATCATAACATTCTAACAAATTATGCCACTGAGTAAAAGATGATCTGATCTATTTGCTGGAAGTTCAACTGGGATTACAAGAAGGAAACAAAGACAATTCTTGGGTCTTATTTATTCTGCCATTTACTATGTTATATAAACCTCTATCATGTTCTTCCCATAAATTTATCTAAGGGGGCCTTCACAGTTCAATAACAGAGTGTGCATTCTGTACATTCAGTCACTCATTTATTTTCTTTCTCTTGATTGTAATGAACAGAACTGTGCTGAATGCTAAAATACTGAATTTAAATACAGCACATATGCTCAATACAACATTCCTTATTATGTGTTTCACATGTCTGCTTGATCATTGCTTCCATTTTTTCCAAAAGGAACGATAAGGATGTGACATTATTCAGAATAATGCACTTTTCTGTTTACTGTGTTTCCAATCCCTATATCCTAAAAAGGAATTTGAAATCAACCTGCAATTATCTTCATAAACTCAAAATGCAGAGAAACACAAAAAGCTCAAAAGCAGTGTGACTATTTAGGATAATATGTTCCATTACTACTATAAACCTCAGTTTGTCCCCAGCATTTATTTCCAACATAACTATGCTAGAGGAAGTAGTATAATTTCTGCAGATGTAATTCTAACCCACTAGTAAGAAATGTAATATAAGAATGATCAAAGATTTCTAGAAAGTATTTCACAAAGTTACTTGTTAGAGACTCCTAAGCAGCTTTGGGAATAATAGTAGGATAAATCTTCTCATGAACTAGTAAGTGAATTGAGAATAAACAGAGAGTAAAAGTACACAGGCAATTTTCACTATGGAAACATATGTAAAATGAGGTCAGCCAAGAATATAATAATAATAATAATAATAATAATAATAATAATAATAATAATATCTGCAAGAAATATCATTTGCCTGTAAGCAAGAACTGGTGGGATCATAAAATAGAGAAAGTTATAGAAAATGATAAAATTAAACTGCTCTGGGACTTCAGAATTCAAACAGACAAGCACCTGCAAAATAACACCCCATAAGAAAGACAAAATAACACCCGATAAGAAAGACAAAAAAGTCTGGATAGTGGACGTGGCAGTGCCTGGAGACAGCAGAATAGACGAGAAAGAACTGGAGAAGATAACAAAATACAAAAACCTACAAATAGAAATAGAAAGACTGTGGCAAAAGCAAGCAAGGGTAGTACCATTAGTGATAGGCTCCTTGGGTGCAATCTCAAAACAACTGGAGCACCACTTGAACACCATTGGCATTGACAAATTTGCCATTAGTCAATTGCAAAAGGCAGCCTTATTAGGAACTGCTTCCATCTTGTGACGATATCTGTAATACCATCAAACATCCACATCTGCCTATCCCAGGTCCTGGGTAAGGACTTGATAGGTAGACAAAATGCCAAATTCAGTCTGAACATCTGGCTGACTGTGTGATGATCAATAATAATAATAATAATAAAGTTGGAAGAGATCTTGGAGGTCATCTAGTCCAACCCCCTGCTCAGGCAGGAAGCCCTGTACCATTTCGGACAAATGGCTGTCCAGTTTCTTCTTTAAAACTTCCAGTGTTGGAGCATTCACAACTTCTGGAGGCAGGTTGTTCCAATGATTAATTGTTCTAACTGTCAGGAAATTTCTCCTTAGTTCTAGGTTGCTTCTCTCCTTGATTAGTTTCCACCCGTTGCTTCTTGTCCTGCCTTCAGCTGCTTTGGAAAATAGCTTGGCTCCCTCTTCTTTGTGGCAGCCCCTGAGATATTGGAGCACTGCTATCATGTCCCCCCTCATCCTTCTATTCCAGCAACCATTCCTTATATGTTTTAGCCTCCAGTCCCCTAATCATCTTTGTTGCTCTTCTCTGTACTCTTTCTAGAGTCTCAACATCTTTTTTACATCGTGGTGACCAAAACTGGGTGCAGAATTCCAAGTGTGGCCTTACCAAGGCATTGTAAAGTGGTGATCTTGATTCTATCCCTCTGTTAATGCAGCCTAGCACTGTATTGGCTTTTTTGGCAGCTGTAGCACACTCATGGCTCATATTTAAATGATTGTCCAGTAGGACTCCGAGATCCGTCTCACAGTTACTACTATTGAGCAAGGTACCCCCTATACTATACCTGTACATTTGGTTTTTCTTGCCTAAATGTAGAACCTTACTTTTTTCACCATTGAATTTCATTTTGTTAGATGGCACCCAGTGTTCAAGTCTGTCTAGATCCTCCTGTATCCTAAGCCTGTCTTCTGGAATGTTGGCTATTCCTGCCAGCTTGGTGTCATCTGCAAATTTGATGATTTCCCCATCTATCCCCTCGTCCAGATCATTGATGAAGATATCGAAGAGCACTGGGCCCAGAACAGAGCCCTGGTGCACCCCACTATACACTTCCCTCCATGTAGATGTGGTTCCATTGAGGACCACACACTGAGTACGGCCGGTCAGCCAGCTACGGTTGCATCTGGCGGTGATGCTGTCTAACCCGCATTTTTCTATCTTCTCAAATAGTAGGTTGTGGTCTATTTTGTCAAATGCCTTACTGAAGTTCAAGTAAATTATATCCACAGCATTCCTCTGGTCCACTAATTTTGTCACTTGGTCAAAGAATGCAATAAGATTTGTCTGGCATGATCTGTTTTTGACAAACCCGTGTTGGCTTTTAGTAATGACTTTGTTTGCCTGTAGGTGTTCGCTGATTCGTTGTTTGATTATCTTTTCCAGAATCTTCCCAGGTATTGAGGTGAGGCTGATAGGTCTGTAATTTCCTGGGTCCTTCCCCCCCCCTTTTTTTTTGAAGATGGGAACTATATCAGCTCTTTTCCAGTCCTCTGGTAGTTCCCCAGTGCTCCAGGATCTTTGAAAAATATAGTTCAGTGGTTCTGATATCATATCTGCCAGTTCCTTAAGAACCTTGGGGTGTAATCCATCTGGTCCTGGTGATTTGAACTCATCTAGGCTGGACAGGTGTTCACTTACCATTTTCCTGCCTATCTTAACTTGTATTTCTATTTTGTTTTTTATGGCACTATTTTTGATAGGTTGGTCTGTTTTTTCCCTTTGTGTAAAGACAGATGCAAAAAACAAGTTAAATATTTCTGCTTTCTCCCCGTGCTTGTCACCTTCTTGCCACTTTCACCCACTATGGACCAATCGTTTTCTTCACTTTTTTCTTGTTTTTTACATGTTGAAAGAAGCTTTTTTTGTTGTTATTTTTGACTTTGGTTGCAAGCCTTAGTTCATTTTGAACCTTAGCTTTCCTCACTTCATCTTTGCAGACTCGGGCTATTTGCTAATATTCTGACTTAGTTATGTGTCGCTCTTTCCACTTTCTGTACTTGTCCTTTTTATCTTTCAATTGATCAGAGAGTTCTTTATGCAGCCATGCTGGTTTCTATTGAGAACTGTTATTTTTCCTCTTTGTTGGTATTGTACTAGACTGGGTCTTTATTATCTCGTTATTTAGTTTTGAACTAGTTGTCTTCATAAATAGTCTGGATTAGGTGATCAGTGAGACCAGTCAGATAGCCAAACCTGTTCATAATGCATATTATTGAAGGAAATAAGAACAAAAAGTATGTTACAAACTTCCCAGGTTTCTAAAAACAGCAGTATACAAATTTGAAGGTTTTTTAATCAGGAAACTCAAAGCACATTTTGCATGGGGTTTTTTTTTTCCTGGAAAAAGATTTAATTCTAGCATGTAGATTCAATAGAAGGGTTTTTTTAATTTAAGAATATGAGTTTAGGCTGGTAGATTAGAAAACTTCCAATATAATGGCATTTGTATATCTGAAGCTAAAATCCCCAATAGAATCCACTTTGCAACAGCTGTAACCAAATAATGACTATATCATTGGCAATTTAGATTCTTACATTCAGATCTCAGATCCCATGGTTCATACCTCAGTTATAAGGACAGCTTTACTTAGTCAAATTGTTTTCCTGCTAGCAGAGAATTCCAATTTCTTCACTCCATCCTTACATTTTATATATTATTATCTCACATTATTATTTTTATAAATAACTCAAAGTAGTGAGCTATACTGATGCTTTCATAATATACTAGGCAGGAACACATGGTCATTTTTGGCTGGAATCAGCTACAAGATCCTGTGTATGTATTAGTGAAGTCTCTTGACAACAGCTCCCAGATGCTCATTTGTAATCATGATTGCTTTTTTCTAGCTACATTTTCCCCCTCATTCCAAACCTATCTTTCCTCTGGTGAGTAAAAGAATCATTCCCCGCTCCCTTCTCTTTTTCTCTCCTGGGGATTGCTTTGATCATTTTTCATCAAACC